TGTCTTTTGCAACATGCTTTCAGTTCAATGGATGAGCAAGATGCTTCCAAGCGTCTAGCCATCTGCGACAATCTGTGACAATGAATTGTGTACACATCAGAACACACTATATATGTATGTATGTGAACATCACCTGTAAAGCCATTGACATAGATGGCTACCTCACTGAAGATACTGGATGAAGTTCCATCTTTTTGATGTTGAATAGCTGCCTCTGAACAGAACTGATCTTCCAGTTTTTGTACCTTGGCAGACATATATCCTCCCTTGGATTTAAATATAATACATTTTTAGATGTAAAACAATTAGTCAATACTCTTTGACTATTCTGTGTATAATAACAGCTGACAAGGCCAAATGCATTACAATTAAATTTTTAATTAAAATTACAAGGCAATACTAAGCAGAGTTACTCCCATTTAACCTCAATTTGCTTATAAGGGTGTAACTCCACTCAGATTTGCACTGTTAATAGATTTAGTTTGCCAATCCACTTGTACACATCTTTTAAACTGAATAATCACATGAGCATTTTGTAAGTAATGGATGTCCAATCTAAGCTACTTCTGAAAAAACATACATACACACAAGATAAACAGCAATTTTCCAAGCCAAAGGCAACACAGCACAGCCTTCACTGTATAGATAACATACAGGTGAAAATAAAGCAAGTATGTTAAAGAAGTTATTTGTTAGATCCACTCATCAATTCAAGAAAAAAGCAGTTAAATCTTCAAAGAATTACATTTATGAATACCTTCTGTCAAAAGATTTTTCATATTTAACATACCCATGTCCCCCAGCCATCTCTCTCACTGGCTCGTTTTCTCCATCCACCTTGCTTCATACTGAGGCTTTTAAACAGGAAGGAATAAAAAACAAGGGTTTATTTTCAGAATTGCTATTGTTATATCTGAAATCCTACCTCCTAATGCCTAATCATTCTCTCTCTTCAACTTCTCAGCAGGAAAAAAAAAAGAGAAGGTGTGAATTGAGTGCAGCGCGAATGTCTTTACATAGTAATACAACTGATGTACCCACTATCTTTGCACAATGTACTAACTCAAACACAAGTAAAATATTTTTAGAAAACTTGAGCCTAATTTTATCTGTTTCACTGTATGATTTAAATATATTCAGGACCTTAGAAGTTACTCACTAATATATTGGCAATGTCTTGCCAAAGTCTCTCACTTAGCTGTGCTGCACCAAAACAGTGGCAAACATACTGGCGTTTATGGGATGAAGGAGACAAGCAGTGGCAAGAAGGCAAGAAAGGTGTCCTCTGTACCAGCAACATTGTTTTGTCCAACATCCTACCCCCACTGCTGTCTCATCTGCTATAGGTTCCAGGGGGCATGAATCTCTACTTGAAGTAGCAGAAGTACATATAAGTTGACAGACAAGCACATTCTATATCATTGTTTCCCAATGCACTGCCCAAGAGCACCATGGTTCCTCCGGTACTACCTGTTGTTCCAACCCTGAGATCACCGACCAGCTATGTGGTGGTTAGAGGAGAGAGGCAGGGTGTGTGGCTGTGCAGTGTAGGGAGTGTTCCACTACCTGCCTGGCTTTACTCCACCCCCACTGTGGAGAAAGGTAAGGTATAAATGAGGTAAATAAATAATACAGCTAAAGATGGGGGACAGGAAGATAAATGCGTGGAAGAGACAGATGGAGGTTGTGAAAGGTTGTCAGGCAGAGCCAAAGAGGAAATAGTTTGGGGAGGGGGACAGATGGGAAAGTGAGGTACCCCCTGTAAGCCCTTGCAGGTTCTCCACTGTGCAACTGAGCTAGTTTTCCCAGAAAGGGGACCCACCAGGACTTGTGAGGGGCATCTCATTTATCCCTCCCCCACTATTTCTTCTTTCCCTTCCCAGAAAGTTTCCAAAGCCTCCTTTTCCTGCTTCTTTCTCTCCTACTAGTCAGCCTATCTTTGACCACCACCCCCATCTTCAGCTTTTCCTCCTTCCTTCCCCCAGCAGCCTTTACCTGGGAAAACTATGGACATGGTAGAGAACCTGCAAGGGCTTGAGAACCCAAAGCAGTTTACATAATTCTCTACCCTTCCATTTTATCCTCATATCACCCCTGTCAGTTAGGTTAGGCTGATAAGGTGTAAGTGACCTAAGGTCACCCAGTGAACGTCCAACGTAGAGCTGTGGTTCAAACCTCGGTCTTCTAGAACCTAGTCTGAAATTCTAACGACTATACCACACTGGCTTTCATGGGGCAGGTGCTGTCAAACAGCAGCAAGAAGCCAGGCCTGCGTGAGTCATGCAATGATGGTGATAGTAAGTTCTAGTGGCTGCTGCCTGACCCTATTGACTCCTTTCTCAAAGGCCAAAACAGCACTAGAAAAGGCACTGTCCCCCCTCCCCCATTTTTTACTGACAGTAACCAAGGCTTCACACCTCACAATACTGTTGTAGTAGGCTACAACAGTTGATACTCTGAGTGAAGGGCAGGGTATAACTCCAATCTTTTCTTCTTCTTCTTTTTCTTCTAGCAACCCCCACAATGGCCTACACTTAGGGCATTCTTTTTTTAAAGCTACACACACTGCTTCTATTACGGAGAGGAGGTGCAGGTTAAGACCCAATGTTTGTTTGTTTTTAGATTTCAGATTTTTCTGCAAACCTCAGGCTTTTTCAAATTTGTAGAAAGAACTGTCTTGTCCATACAAGTTCTGTTCCAGCTGAAGATTCCAAGGTGTCTTCAAGGGCAGCCCTGTGTAGAGCGTATTACAACAGTCTATCCTCAAAATTACTATGGCATGGATTCAGGGTAGGAATCCAACGTCCGTGCTAAATGCAGCTGAAAGACTTGCTTCTCCAGCAACAATAATCAAGTATAAATCACAAACTCTTAACCACAGCAGTACTGGTCAGCTGAACCACATCAAATACTGGATGCATAGTATCTCCCAAGATCTCAGCTTTGCCAACAAGCATCAACTCCATTTAGTCAGGATTTAGTTTTCAACTTCTGCACCTTCAGCCACTTAAATGTGGCAACCTGACACTCATTTAGGAGAGCTACTGCAAAATCAGGTGATCTGTACCCTAGACCTGAAAACTGAACCTTGTGGAATTCCAGAAGACCAATTCCACTGACATCTCATATCCAACAGCATCTCTCTGTATAAAGTCATCAATAACCTATCTAAGCCATTCCAAAGTACATCCCTTGTTACCTACTTCTACCACCAATCACCTCAACAGGGTTGATTGGAACACCATATCAAAGACTGCCAGTAAATCCAGTAAGAACAAAAAAAGAAATATAACCCTTGTCTATATTCAAAGAGATCACTGCCTCTGTCTCATATCCAGGCTCAACAGGATCAAGGACAGAGTGACATTCAGGAGTTGCTCAGTGAATAGGTTAAGGAATGCAAAGTGGAAGAACATGCAGACAGAAGAACTATTACAAGCTGTAATGAACATTCAGTCACTGGAACTGTAGCTGCAACTCAATATATATCACATCCCGTGTCCTCACAGACCATGAGACAGCCATTCAAAACATGCCTCACTTAATGAAGACCACAAACGAAGGCAACAGCAACTAGTGGAAAGCCAGCTGGTGCTCTCTGGGGTTGGTACATTTCTGCCTTAGCAGGGCTCCTGTGCCTTTCAAACATGCATATTAAATTGATCTAACAACTACCGATCTACCCAGCATGGATATACAGTGATGAAGAAAGCTATAATTGTTGTTACATTGTTCATAAGAAAGCTCTTGTAGGGCACTATAGGAACAAAAAAGTTGTCTACCTTATTCCTTTTTGATTCTGTCAAGCCACATTCCATCATTAATGCTGTTCAATGGAAGATATGACAATTTTAGTCATCTATCAGTTAGTGACATATTTTCTTTGGACCCAGGAGCCAGCCTCAAAATTAAGGAGCCCAAATTTTCTCTGTCATAATAAATATGTTGCCTCTAATTTATAAATGGGGTTGCCAACTTGGCCTGAAGAAAGATGCCCAGTCACTTTTAGAGATGGAAAATCTCCAGAAATTTTGAAGAACTTGGCAACCCATAAATCATTTTGAAGAACTTGGCAACCCATAAATCCAGCAGGTCAAGCCCTACTCTAAAAGGTTAGAACGTTAGTCACTTGTGAAGAGCAGGGCATTTACTGCAGCTGGCCCAAGGCTGTGGAAGGCCTTCTTTTTTTTTTGCGCTATGTTTATTATTTCTGTTTGTTTTTAACATATCAAGAAATATAATAACTAAGGTGCAGAGTTGCTTCTTTCTCATCTTCTTTCATAAGGGGTTCAAAATGTTTTTTGTGCATGTGAGGATGTTCTTCTGAAGAGGCAGAGTACAGGGGGAAAAAACTTTTGAAAGTTTTCTCACACTGAACACACATTCTTCCCCAGTTCAGCTCCACCTCCATCTTTTCTCCTCTCTCCTTCTCATCTTGTCTTAAATTTTAGACTGTTCCCTTTGGGGCAAGTACTTGCCTTCTTGTGCTGTGTCAAGCATAGGCACATTGGTTTGTGTAATAAAAACCCACGATTTGACACACTGAATGTAAACTAACTGAGCTTAAACTAATGAGTTCCAGTGGCATAGCTGTGTTAACTTTGTGTCAACAAAAACAAGAACCCTACAGAATCTAAAAGACATGTATTACAGCATAAGCTTTGGCAGATTCAATCCTCTTTTGTTTAAGCTAATGTTGTAAGGCAGACCAACTGCTACCACTTACCTGCTACAGAACTAGAACAGAAGAGAAGAAAAATACCCAAGAATTATTGTCTTTTCAGCTCAAGCACGGAATCCTGGGCAGGTGGTGGGGGGGTGAACAGATTTCAAAGAAAATCTGGATAATAGTCCTGTGTATATAGCTAGTACACTAAGCCTAAATACAGAACTACTCACAAACTATTATTTGTGCTTGGAAGACTTGTTGCTTCCTCTCCAGACCAGGTCCCCCCCCCCCCGCCTTAGGGGAACTGCCTATCTTTGCCCACCCACCAAACACAGCTACCTGTCTCCCTACAAAGGCAAAGGAGAGCCAGTAACTGGCCCTGTCCATATGAGGCATTTTGAGCCGGGAGGGGGACGGAACGGAGCAACCGGGCGCGATCCCACGGCAACATCTGGGAATCGTTGCCTGGCCGTCCCTGATCCGTCCCTACCGGTGAAAACGCGCAGTAAAAAAGAACCACCTACCTAGGTGGTTGTATCCTTTGGAGCGCTGCAAGCCGGGCCGTGGGATCGACCGGCACGTCTTTGCGCTGGTGCATCTCGCCCCCCTGCCGTACTGCGCATGCTCGAGCATGCGCAGTTCGGCAGCCTCCCCCTCCCATACGATTCTTCCTCCCCGGCATCTGATCGTGCAGGGGAGCGATGCGCCGCGGCTCCGGGGATCTGTGGGATCCCGCTGCGGCGTTCCAACTTTGGTGCGGCTCACATTAGCCGCAGATCAGCCCTCCTTTTCCCTGCCGTGTGGCAGGGACCGTTATTAAGCTATTTGCAGCAGAACTCCTGTCCTTGCAACAAATTAGTTCTGTACTAGTTTTGCACTGCATTCCTTTTAAGGGCTGATTCCCCTTTCCCTTCTCCCTTTAAACTCTGTAACCATTTAATGGTGGTGGTGGGGCTCTAGATTGCAATGGTAACCCAGTGCCCGAAATTGCAAAGGTATACATTAGAAGATTGTCAGCTTCAGCTGCTATCAACCTCCCCAGCTGTAGCCACAGTAAGGGAACAAACAAGTGAAAGGCAGCAGAATTTCCACAACCATACCTCATCAGATCAGAGTCTGCATCTTACCCACAATCTTGTCACTGGAGCACCAGCAAGTGAGATATCATCCACTTTAATGAATGAG